CAAGCAGGAAAAAGGCATGACTGTCCCTTTGGGCAGCAAGGTATTCTTAGAACAGTTAAACTGGAGCATGAAACCACACCTTTCACTAAAGTGACTTTAACGCAGACATAAATTTACAGTCTAAACACATGTTAAATGTTCAGTGGCCTAAGTCACTGAAAAGATAGAAGCCTAAATTAATAGAATGCAACTCATTTAATTATTTTTCTCTAAGTGCTATCTAGAGTGAGGGCCCAGGCATTTTTAGGTTTAATGTAAATCTTGCATTGACAAGTTTTTTAAGACTCTGAAAAACAGTGAGTTTTAGCATTTCTATTTTTTGTCCTGGACAATGACAAATGGCAGTGGTATGCTGCAAAGAGCATTATTTCATTGGAAACATTAATTTTCCTTCTAGCCAAACTTCAAACAAAGTATAACCTTCTCTGCACTTAATACTACATTTGGCTCAGATGCCATTTCTGAATGACATGTACGGAGCACTAGAAAGTGCAGAACAGTGATTTTTTCTGAAATGGTAAAATTATAACTTTCTTAGCAAAATACTAATATAGCAAAAATTTTTACTATTTTTATTTTGTCATTAAATCTTGGTCTTACCCCACAGCTTGATAACAAATGATCTGGTAATGTATTAGAGAACTGAGTAAGTTTTGAATTAGAAAAAAAGCCCCCTATCATCTTTAGACTTCCAAATATACACAGGAAACAGAAACAGGGAATGGAGAAAGGTCGCTTCTAAATTATGCTGCACAATGTATATCCTCATCTTTCACTTCATTCCTTCTGTCCTGTGGCCATGAAACAACCTTGCTTGCAGAAGCCATCCAGAGACACTGCTTCTCCTGGGCAAGAAGCTACTAGTGTTACAGGAGCACATTTGCAGTGAAATATCCTTGTTCACCACAGTCCCTAGTAAAATTCCATTGACGCCTCAAATACCCACTACTTCTGCAGAGGCACAGTGCTCGATGTATAGCTGCTTTCGCAAAGATGTTTCATGTCTTCTGTACCTGTGGTTCACTCTTCTCTAATAAAGGCATTTTGACTACTTTCATTCTGCAGTTTCCTCTGAGTTATACTGTACATGTACCAAAATTCTTCAGGATCAGCTTTAGCTTGTGTTCAAATAAATACCTGATTGGACCTGGTACTTTTACGTCTCCAGTGAAGAACATCAAGAACTTCTTTCTTCCTCAGCTATACACAGCCTAACAACATATATGGCAAAGTATGAGGAAAGAACCCCATAAGCTTTTTCAAGAAGCCTTGAGAAGTACAGAGGGCATTGCTCCATGCAGTGCCCAAATGTTTCCAAACTGTTAGGAGTCCCTGGAGCTTTTCATGAAGGTTTACTGAGTAGATAGGACAGCAGGATGCAGCTATGTGAAAAACATCATCTGCATTGTGAGACAGAAAGCCCACAATGAAAAGGATAAGCTGTGTCCAAAGGTCTCACAGTGTGCAAACAGCTGGTGGCCTGCTTCAGGGACACCTAATTTAAAATAATAAGCTGTATATTCTTCATATAGTTTAGATCGTATTCACCCAGATTATCTTAGATTCATGGGGCCTGGGCAGTAAGGCTAAAGTAGAGTTTAGAGACGTTCCACTCAAGGACATGCTTTTTCACACCAGTTCTCTTCTTTTTGGGGTAGTCTCCTTTCTGTGTAGAGACAACACAAGTTGAACCAGAGCAAAGAAGGAACATTTTAAGAAGGCACTGGCAAATCAGCAATCTCGATTGTTGCCTGATTCCAAATTAGCTAGGGAAATCATCCTGCCCCAAAAGAGCACTGCAAGATGTACTGTTCCCTTATAATAAATTTGCTCATAGCAGCTTACATGTGGGGAGATTGCTTCTCAGTTTCTTCAGATACTTGTCACAAGCTTTTCCCATTCTCATTCTCATAACAGACATGTAGTGCAAAGTGCTAAACAAAGGGATGACTGATGTAAGCATCAAGCCAAGATCTTTTGGTTCAAGCTAGTCCTTTGATGCTCTATTTTATCTGAAGCACTTTTCAATTACAAGGAGATTACAAGAATAGCTTTCCCCATCCTATTTTTGTTAGTTTTATCAGTTGTGCCTGGCATAGGCTGTCTTTTGCAGCTAAAGGCCAATTTAATTAAATAATAACTTTCACATTGTTCTTGAATAATGTTGTCTGTACTCTGTAAGCCTGGAGAAACTATAAAAAGCACCCTGAGTCTACAGACTGCAATTAGTAGAATTTTTGCCACTAACTTGGAAAAAAAATGTGATCTTAGCCCCATTTGTCTAAATCATCTCTTCAGCAAAAGAAATGTTAAATAGTCAAAGTCTTCAGCAAAACGCTGAAGAACACACTTAAGAACAGGCACAAGCATTTTACTGAAGTTAGGCCATTTCCCATTATTTTATATTAGTCTCCCTACAGTTTCCAGTTTCTATTTCCTGAAGCTAAGTTTCAAACTTGAGTTTAATTTAAGAAGGCCAGCTGATTTAAAAAGAATTCCCAGTGCAACTGAGTTGGCTGGCATATTTTACTGTTTGTGTGTGGCACAGAGCTGCTCAGCTAAATCAGCTTTTTCAGTCTTTCTTGCCAGCTTCCATCCAAGTGATAAATAAAGGGCATTTAACTGGGTAGCAAAGCTTTCATCCCAAAACAACAGAACAAAGAGGTCCTATGTGCTATTGTCATTGATGGAGTCACCAGTCAGCTCCCTTCATCCTCTAGGTTCAACACTGTTTTCCTTGAACCTGATTGCTGAATGGGACAATGTAACAGACTGTATGAAAGCATCACTGACCACATTGTTGATTTACTGATGGAAAGTATTTTCCCTTTTAATGGTAGTTTCCTATAGATAAAGAAAATGTATTTTGTCGGAAGCTCACAAGTTTGTAATTCAAAGTATAGGTCTGTAAACTGCCTGTTGAAGGCTGAGAAAGTTTGCCTTCCCCTCAGAAGGGATTAAAATAGATGTGAGTTATCCCACAGGCTGGAGAACATCAGAGTGTATTGCATAAGCCTCACTGTGTTCAGTAAAAACAAAAGAACAAAATTACTCATACTACAGAGAAACTCACAGCCTTGTGCCCTGAGTCTGAGACAAATGTGGATGGACAACCCAGGTTTTTTTGACTGCTTCAATAAAATAGAAAAATGAGAGAAAAGAAAATGTCCATTATTCAGATTGAACTGCTTAAATGTGTTTGACTTCCCTTGTTGCTACATGTTGCTCTTCTGCCAGGTCCTACCCACTCACTAAACATCTGGAACAACCACAGTCCATGCAGGACATAGGCACACAGGGGGCAAACAGAAATGAAGAGGTAATAGCAGAAAACTTGATGGATGACCAGTACAGGTGAGCAAGAGCGAGACCTCCCCACTCTAACTGCTGACACCTTGAGCTAAGTGGTACCCATCTACCATTTTGAGGAAGGGCTGGGGTGGGAAAATCAGAAGTAACTGAAGGGGCACACTCTGCATCGGATATATTGCATGAGAGAGTCTACAGCCCTTTGAGGCCCACCATGCCCATTTTGATTAGCCATTGCTCCCTGAAGCAAGAAAACTGAGGGCATGGTTCTGCCCTCAGCAGGACCCAGGCTCCTGCAGGCCTTGTGTATCAGCAGGCACAGCAGGAACTGGAAACCAGGGACTACTCCTCTCTCAAAGGCAAGATTTTGCTGCCTCAGTGAAAGGCAGAGACCTCCAGCTCCTGCTTGCTTCTGTGATCAGAATGGGAGCCTTGACTGCTCCAGGAGGCAAAATCTGCTCAGTTGATGTGATTTGGTATCTAGAAAATGCCAGCAAGCTGCTCTTTGCCACTATCCCACAAATGCACGAGGTAGATCACAGCCATCCTTGGCAGGTTTGGACCTCAGTAAAGGGTGAGATAATACGCATTCTCCCCAGAAGGTAAGGTCAGTCCTCTCTGAAGAGTGGCATTTCCTAGCTGTCACTGAGCCCACAGCTGCCTGCTGTAGTGGCAGGACCACTGAGACAGCCCACTCCACAGGGCTCCTGGGAACTCAGTACCAGCAGTGGCTTTATTCTTCCTCCCCAAAGCAGGGATAAACTGACCTTCAACATTCAAAAGCAAGCACTTAGCACATCTGTATCACCCCCATCTTGAGCACTGTGCAGACCCCTAGCAGAAACTTTACCACTCCTCTTACCACTAGGAGGTAAGGACTTCTGTATATATACTCTTCAGCCAGGTGAAGTGACAGCTTGTGACTACACCAGGATTGCTACCTAGATAGTTATAGGCATAAAGACAGTCGAAGGCTTCATTCAGATAATTTCAAGTAAACTGTGCATATACACATACACATTGTATTTATTGAGTAGTGCAGTGGAAACTTTACACTGATACGTAACTTATCTGTAGTCAGCAGGAGATACAACCAGTGTAACTTGGGTAAGATTCACTTCTTCTGTTTTTTGAGGTACCAGAAAAAAAAAAATGTTATCACTGCACTTCAGAATAAGTCAGAAGAGTGCCTCTTTACTTAGTTGAGATCAGAACTGCCGCAATCTTTTTACTAAGAAACGTGAAAAAATGATATACCAAGAGGAAGGGTGAGTGTACTAGTGTGTTGTCCCAAGAAAGTGCTGTTTACTTCTAGGTTAGTTAAAGGTGCAAGGCTAAACAATTCAATGGAAAATTCCTCCTATGAGAGTATTCCCTGCTACCAAAGGAGATGGTTGGAGATGGAGGGTAAAGATAGCTCAGTACAAACGCAATCCGCATGACAGGATGCTGGGTTTTTCTCAGAAGACTACAGCACACAGGTAGATCAGATGGTGACAATCTACAGTGCAGCTATGGCCAGAAGACAACTAAAATTCAACTAAAAAATGGAAAACTATTTGTGGAATGAAAATAAACAACTACGCAACAGTAGGGTTTAGAGGAAGGCAGGCCAGGAAACTTTCGATGACTTTCCAAGATTCAGTGAGAGCTGAAATACCAACCCTGGTCAGCATCTTTGAAAGCTTCCACTACAGCTTGCTCTTAGGGATGTCTGAGTCCATCAAGTGTTGCCAGAAAAAAGTCTGTATCCTGTGCCATGCATCTTCTTGGGCTTTGGCATGCTCTCTCCATTGCCCTCCCCAATGCACAAACAGCCCAAGCACTCTGTGGATCGAAGCCTGGCACAGAGGCAAGTATGGTGGCTCCAAGAGGTGTCCTGCTCCAGAATAGGAGAAAAACTCCACTTCCCGTCCATACTGCTGAAGGCGCTGAACAGCATCCCGGCAATAGAGGTCACTTTTCCAGTTCATGTCATCCAGTCCCGACAGGAAGAGGAACTTGGCCAAAGACCTCTCCATTGGAATGCGACAATCCCAAGTTGCTGGGTCCCGGTGATCATCTAGGACATCTGTAAAATCTACTAGGCCAGACTCGTCACTGGTCTTCATCCTCCCCAAATCATATGGGTGGGGAGGAACAGTGAAGCCATCCCCCCGTAGGGGAATGAAAGAATTAAAACCACTTCCAGATATGCTGACAGCTGCCTTGATGCCAGGTAGAAATGTGGCCATGGAAAGGGCTAGATCAGCTCCTTTAGACAAGCCCAAAACGCCAATCCCAGTATCTTTCACCTGAAACAGTTATGAAACAACCATTATCAACTACTCCTCATTTCCTGGACTGACATAACATCTCCAGTTCTCCTTCCTTACTCCTCATCCAACTAAGACCATATTTTATCCTTCCCTCTCTATTCAGGTTACATCACTCCCATATCTATCCCTTTGCTGAGCCTCCAGAAGAGTGACTGAATTCTACAGCTCCTCAACATTTCTCCTCCCGTAACACTTTTTCTCCCTGGTGACCTCTATAGACAAAGCCTCTTTGCTCCCTCCACATCCTGTCTTGACACTTGCTCTCAGTATTGTATCTGTTACTGCTCCTGTCTCCAAACGCCCTCGATCTTCTCTCCTCAGCTCCCTTTTGGAAAACCACTTTTTCATGGGTTAATTTGCATTGATTTTCTTTCATGCCATTGTTTTATGATACTCTCCTACAGCTGACCTGTTATCTTCTGTTTTGTCTTGGAACACATAAGGTTCATTACACCTGAGGCTGAGTAAGCCCAACAACAGTTTAAATCAACTTATTTATACTGAAGGCTCTTCATACCAAATTCATTTTATAATGTGTGCCTTGGAAAATGATCTGGAAGTTTCAGAGGTCTATGATGAACAAGACAAACAAGCAAGGCTGTATTCTGCTCTCACACTGGCTACATTCCTAATCTGCTCGCGCACTGTCTACATTCCAGCTGTCCACATGCTAGAAAATAAATAACTTTGTGAAATGAATACCACATTAAGTAGCATTCCATTCAAAGTTTAAATGCTACTTGATTTCTGTTGGTCTCTTTTGGTTTAAGTATGATGATATATTTCTATAAAGTGTCCCTCTCCCACATACTTGTTCAAATACAGCCCCAGTTTCTTAAGACATGGCACACTTTCCAGTGCTACAACTGTAAGGGATTCTGTTGTTAAAGTGCTTTATTACTGTCTCATGAAACTTACGCAGCATCAAAAGCCTGTAACATTTCAGAAATAGTAGAAAAAGTCAACAGATTTTTTTTTTCCCTTCTAAAATCTTTAAAGATGCAAAAGTAGGGAAAAAAATTAAGCTGTCTTGTGCATCTAGTCCAGGAACTGTTTTGATTTAATCTTACACAAACACTGGTTTGCACAACACTCTATGGACTGTCATAAGATGCTGTGCAAAACCAACTACCCGACTACTTGCAAAACTGGAGTTGAGGCGCATGCTTTTCCATCTCTCAGATCATGCTGTCTTTCAGACAATGCTGTCTCCTTCTAACATCTCAGAAACTTAGTTGCATTCAGTGACATATAGCATTTCACATTAGAAAATTGGAAAATAGTTTCCAACAGGATGAACACCATAATTTGTCTCTTACCTGCTGCTGCTTCCGCAAAAAGTTTACAGCTTCCTCAAAATAGCCCAGCTCAAGAATCTCTGGCATAGCAGGAAGATCTTCAAAGGCCATATAAGCAAGAGCCAGAGTCACGAAGCCTCTGCTAGCCAGAAGACTTGCTCTGTATTCAACAAGACCTCCTCCAGATCCATACAAATCAATAAGTCCAGGGAATGGACCCGGTCCTGCAATGAAAGGGGGGTGTGCATGTGTGTGTGTATATATATATATACACACACACTCAAAGGGAAAAGTTTCTACAGTTGTCCTTTCAGTAGTGCCCCCTCAGCACATATCAGGACAGTAGATATCAAAAGGAAATCACCCTCTGAAGGTTTCCATGGAGGTTCTTGTTCTCAGGCACATACACAATCACTGTAAGGACACAAATTTGGATATTTCTTCTCTCTCTTAGGAACTCACTATAGGAAGGTCATATGTTGGGCATCCTTCTCCCTCCATGAATTCCAGCTGAAATTGGCCTAGATGTTCTCAGGCCATTGGGGACTGATGAACAAACACTATCGCTGCAAGAGCTGTGCTTCTTTAGGAATTGTGCTAGCAGGTTTTCCAGGGAGGGAATACTTGAGTTATGAAATGCACCCACAAATGCCAGCACTGACCTACGCCAACTCAGGCTTCAGTCTGATCTGGGTAACTACCCCTGGGCTTCTCAGTTTTCCTCCTGCACCCATAGGACCTTCCTTTCCTGCTGCTGCTCTGCCCATTCTTATAGACAGACTTCCCTTGAAAGATCTGGTGTCACAGCAGCTGCAAGGGACTTTTTATTCATTACAGAGCAAGACATTCACGTTTAAGTATTGCTCAAGGAACATAAACAGTTCAGGACTCAGAGCAGCTTTACACAGGATCCAGTCTCAGCGCTGTCTCTGTATGGAGATGTGGAATATGACACCCATTTAATTAAAGACCTTGCTTTTCTCATTTGTCTCCCATCTTCCTAAGTATCCCGTGCAGTTCAGCTGCTCAACCAGGTAGAGACTTCTTTCTTTGGCTTTTCCTTAGCCAAAGAGAGAGACAGAGAGACAAGTCCAGAGCCTGCAGGAAGATCCGTGGCAGCTGTTGGAGCAGCCTACACTGGCTGCAGCCCAAGTCCAGTGCTCCCACCACACCTCGTCATTCCTCGCTCCACGGCTGGGGCCGTCATGCCTCGGCTCTGCCGAAGACCAGTGGCCTCTTTGTCCTGTCAGCTAAACAGAAGATCTACAAAATAAACACACTTTGCCCACAGAGCTCTCACGGCAGGAGAGGTCCTGACCCCCCTCAGCCAGAGAAAACAGGACATGCCTCGTGCTACCATGGCTGCCCTCCCTGCACCCCGCCACCGCAGCACTGGACCCGCCTGGGCAATGTCTGCTCCTCCCTGTCCTTGTACTGCTGTGAGGATCCAAGTAGCTGGACCAAGCACAGGCTGAGGGAACCATTAGCTGAGGCTTTGCTCTGAGTTGCCGAGCTCATCCAGGGGCCATGGGGCACAACATATGGTATAAGTCACACCTGGAAAACCAGAACAGAATTGAAACTCACCAGGAGGGAAGAAGAGGGTTGCTTTCAGACGACCTTCTCTGACCGAAATCCTCTTCACCCCCTCTCCTAAAAACCACCGTTCATTGGTGCATTTTCCCAGCAAGCGGCTCATGTCCCCGTGGCCCTCATACACTTCGAAGTCCACACAAAAAGGAGTCAGGACGTTCCTCTTTGCCAGCCGCTTATAGGGTGCTTTAGACTGCAGAGACCACAGCAGCCCCATCGGCTCCACTCCCGAATAGCTGCCCCCCAGCGCTGGGGAGCAGCTGAGGTCAAGCTCTCCACTGCTCCCAGCTCTGTAGTGAGCGTGGGCTTGGAAAAGCTCCCCACTCTCGTCCACCAGGCTGGCTCGGAGGGTGACCGCCTGCTGTGGCAGGGGACCCGCCACACGGATCTGCACGGGGTCATCGAACAGACACCTGGGGGAAGGCAGAACCGTCACCTGCACTGCCATCCTAGCTCTCCTGCCGGGGAGAGGAGCTGCCCTTTTGTGTGGCGAGAACAGGCTGCGTGAAACAGGATTGTCAGGAGCCTGTCGCTTCTCAGGCTTAAAATCTCTGCCCAAAGTCCAGGAGGAACCACCGTGACTGCTTCCTCCAGGCAGCAAGCATGGGCTGCTGGGAGACGTAGTTCAGAGCATGCCTCCCTCCAGACACTCTGATCAGAGGTGGTAAAGTAACACCATCCACTTGCACAGACACAAGCTGTCATTTGCTCCTGGCGTGCAGTCTAACTTTTGATTATAGAGAGAGACTAAATGAAAAACCCCAAAGTGACAAAAAGAGATATTCAATTCGCCTTTCTCTCCGACTGTGGGAAAGTCCAGATTCGACTGCAAAACTGGCTTAGGCGCCTTTGCCAAGGCACAGTGAACACAAACCAACTGCAAAGCCTGAAGTAACGTGACATCTTCACCAAGCTGTCAAACAAAGCCTGCCCTTAATCCCTGCTGAGTTTTCAGTAATTTTTGGAAAGCACCACAAGGTAAAATGATACTTTATGCTCTATCTGTGTTTCTTTAAAAAACAAAAGAAACAGACAAAGTAAAATAATTGTATTTTTTCTTCACAATAATCAATCTTGTCTAAAAGGTATCATCTGCATTTTCCTAATTAATACATGGAAAATAAATTTGCCCCCATATCGCTAATGGTTCTAAGGAAGATTTGACGATAAATACCAACTTTTGGTTTTCATAAACACCACCATTACATTTTTGCAATGTCTGCGTACTTAATAGCCTTCTAGTTCTACGCTGTGTGTCTCAGACACGTGAGCAGTCTCATCCTGTTCTGTGGAAATACAAATGGAAATTACAGCTGCAGAAGTAGGCTCCTGGTTCACACAACTCTCATGACCATGTGTTAGGTAGCAATTAATGGCAAAGGAATGACACAATCCATGAGCCTACAAGCTGCAGAATCACACATCATGCCACAAGACCACAGGCGATGTGCAGACTGACTGTAGGTCTGGCAAAGCGACTCTAAAATCACCGTTCAGGATGCAAGAGAATGCAGCTGCATTTAAATACAGCAGTGGAAAGAAATAAAAATGAGCAATAAAAACATGTAGCTTAACACGGAGAACAGCCAGCATTGACTTTTGCATGTCCTCTGAGATGTCCTCCACCCATCACATCATTTGAAAAAAAAAGTCAGAAATTAGTACAGAAATAAGCTTTTAAACTGACCTTTTATTGCAGAAGTTGTAATTTCTCACCATCAAAACGCCACAGCCACTGAACTTACTGAATTACAACTGGACAGGATTTTTGCCTTAAGCAGAATGCATGTGTTACACACATTGGGGATTCCTTGGACTGATGCAGCCTGATGCACAGGCGGGTGGCAGAACAGATTCTTCCTTGTCCGCTTGGGTTGTTATGAAAACAATCTGTAGATCTGAACAGTCAGTCATGGCTTCTGTTTTGGGATTTCCAAAACCTGGATTGCCTCCCTTCAAATTTTATTTTGCTTACCGTCACTGAGGCAACAGTGCAAAGACCTAAAAATGCTATTATCAAACCTTCTACTTACAAGCCAAAAAAATCCAGCCAGTTGATCTGGACTCTGAAATCAAGCAAAATAGCCATGATCTGTTTGACAGCTGATGTTGAGGATAATTTAATGTTCAGTTCTTTTCACGTGAATCATGTCTGTACTCCGGTCACAGATGCCGATGATTGTATCACACATCAGCGAGAGAGATGACAAGCTCGAGTCTCCCACCTCTGCTATAACTCTTTCACGGTTTTTGTGAGACAATCTAGTAGTTGATAATAGCTGTACTTAAGGTCATATTCCATGTCATACCAATAATTCACTGAGAAGACAAGAAAAAGGAAAAACAATTCTAAGGCTAGAATGTAATAATTTACAAACGTGTTCATAGACTGTTTTACACAGTTCAGCTAGTACAGGCTTTTCCTTATTACTGACTGAACTTTGAAATGAGCAAATCTTTGACTACAGCCAAAAATAACGTAAGCAAACATTAGAGTTCTTTAATAGTGCTGCCAATGCAACTCTGTCTTAAGCCAAACCAACTCCTCTTCAGACTCTATACTGGTGATTCCTTGGAGCAGAAGCGGGCAAAATGTTTAGGTACAGAAAATGTATGCTTCTATTTAGACCAAAAATACCAAATACACTGCAAAGTTTAATATCTGGACAGGAACCTCTCTTCCTCTGAGTGTATAACAGATGGCAAATTCACCACTACTTCACAATGGTCATCAATTAGGCAGTGCTTTAATTCTGCTTCTCATTTTAATTTTGGTACATCTCCTAGAAAAAATAAGCCAAGCAGTATAATATTGTACCAATGCTGCCTGCAGGAATATATACTCTAGCTTCAGACATTCACTGGACCAGACCCAGAGAACACTGATTTTTCAAGTGTATACAGACTGTAGTGCAGTTAACAGACTAAAGGCCAAATAAACTCATCAACTCTTTATCCTTTCTGCTAGACAGAGAAAAAGAGAGTGACCACGGGCTTGCAACTGGAAACAACTCTACTTTTTCTAAAAAATCTTTAAGGACTGATGCAGCAGTACTGGGAAAAGAGAATGAGAAATACTGCTTTACTGCCAGTATGTCTTTTTATCACAGTATCACAAATACTGAAAAAAAGGGCTTGCAATATTTGCAGTGTTACACAAATACTAATGCTATGTTGTTCAAAATACTGTATTTACTCTTCCTGGGTAGACGGGATTATTCCAGGTAAAGGACAGCAAAAAACTCTTCCTCAAACCTTGCAAAACTCACAGAATATAATGATAATACTTTGCACCACCCTCACCCCTCCACCTGCACTAAATGAGCAATGCTTGAAATTCTGGAACTCTCTTCAGGAAGGAAAGAAAAAAAAGACAGAGAGAGAGGATGGTAAATCCTACGAAGAAAGAGATGACGAGACTTTTGATAAGCGCAGAGGAACAGTAACACAAGCACAGGCTTATTAGCGAGATAGGAGACTGGGTCAGAGCAGATTCCAGCTCACAGGACAACAGAGTATCTATCTTCCACGTTTTGTCTATATCCATGCCTAAAACTCACACACTTTCTGGTTTCCTTTTCTTCCCCAGAACCCTTTTTGCTGATATGATAACGGCACACACAACATGCAGTTTGTTTGTGAAAGGTATGTAGATGACCAATTTAGTCAGTTAGCAGACTAGGCAGACAAACTGCTTAGCTCCATGTTATAAACAGAATCTGGATCATGATCACTGAACTAGCTATCCTTCTCCAGACTTGACAACAAGAAAGACTTTTTCTTCTGCTACATCCCTAGCACTTGTCAACAATGCTATGAATTATAAGCAAAAGAGACTGCAAGGAGGTAGCCCATGGCGTCTGCCGAGATTGCTGTTTCCTCCTGAGGGGAGGCAGATGATCTTAAAGTGACCTTTGGTCCCAGTTATGCTTTGCTGTAGCTGTTTTGCTCTAGCTGCACACCCAGCACAGTTCAAAAACATATCTGGAAATACTGTGTATTTTACCTGCTATACAGCCATGTGATTGCTGAACATGATGGAACCAGAGAGAAGGCAGGTATAACATCTCACCAGCTTTCACTGTACACTGCAAAGGTTTTGCCTGAGCATACTCTGGATACTGTTCCAGATTCGGGTTCAATGGGTCCAGGGGGATCCAGGGCACCTAAAAGCAAAAGAGTATGTATATGGTACTGACCCTGGCAAAAAATTCCAGCAAGCTTCCAGAAAAACAACTGATAACCAAACTTACTAGGTTACAAAACATGTATTTTGCCTAGCAAAGTATGTTACAGCTACACAGTTTTCCACATTCAACTGGGAATAGGTCAAGGATGCAAAAATTTGCCTCCTTCAGTGAAGCATTTCTAATTAGGGAAAAGGTGCTAGATGTCAGCCATGAAATTTCAGTCTCATGGCATACTTTTAAAAAACCTCCAGCCCCTTAAAGTCACTTGCTCCTTCTATGTTCAGTACCTGAGTATTTTATCTGTACCACTCTTTTCAGAAATTTCTTTCTTCTTCTAAAGCTCTCTGGTCTAATTTTATTCCCAGCAACTAAACCTCCCCTTCCTGCTGGGAAATCCCTCTTGCCTGCATTCATTTCTTCTATGCCCTACAGAGTTAAAACCTCAGCACTTCACCTTACTGCGTTACAGGAATGCTCCCCTGAGATTCCGTGAGCACCACTCTGGAAACAGAGAAAACATCCCAGCTCAAGTTCAGCTGTAGCATTAGTCACACGTTGCAGAGGCAAAAGGAGAGAGATTAGATACAAAAGGCTACTCAGTTTTTGTAAAGTGCCTCCAGATCTATATGTTTTAATCAAATAAATAGTGCTACTACTAAGAAAAACACAATATATTAGTTGAGAGAGAGATGTTTCATTGCACTGGGTGATACTGCTGTAGAGCAAAATCTAGCCCTGAGTGGAGGGCTAAAAGAAAGTGAATGCATTTCAGTCTTAATGAAATAAATTTCTTTATTGTAGATTCATTTAAAAGTCCTTTGCTGGATTTATTTAAGTTTGGTGCAAGGAAGACAGTTTATGATATCAATGGTTTCAGGTGCGCGGTAAAAATCTTTTCTGGAAGCTGAGTATCCTTTGCGAATAGTAAAATAGAAGTGAAATACCTGGGCATTCTCTTTCCAGTAATGAAGGATTTCTAAATATCAATCAATATGCTCAGTTTGAGGGCTCAGCAGCACCCAAAACTATCTTTACTGTATTGACTGTGTTCTTTATATACTTTTTACCTTATCTGCATTCTTCTCATCCACAATTTCAAATGAACCATCTTCTGATACCTGGTAGGTTGCTGGCTGATAGAGCTCTGGAACCACAGAAAGAATTAAGTGACACAACTCAGAGTAGTACTCAGAGAAACTAATGGCAGGGCATGTCACACTTTTACCAAGTAAAAGAAAAATTAAGACAAAACCATTTTCAACTTATTGTCCTCACTGTCCTTTCCTTTGTCCATTTCCATTTTTATCCTGTTTCTTAATTTTTATTTTTTTTTTAAGTCAGTCTGAACACTGAACTGTCTTCCTGTTTGGAATTCCAACCTTCCTTCTTCACAGGAATTATTCTCCTCAAAATTCTTTTTACTTCTGGTCCTACTTTGTTCCAGTAACTGTCTTGTTTCCCTTTCGGAAGTCATAAATGCAACCCTGATGTATGCATTGTTCTATATTCTGGTGTTTCTTCTTAGGTCAGTCTAGCAAGATAGCCATCACAAGAGTTATTAGTGACTTGTGGCCAGCCTTTCACTTCTAATTTTATCTGATAGGGCTCATCAACTGCTTCAGATACTGCAGGTTGCTTTTCTTTCATTGCTTCAGCGCATGTGGTTTTCTAAACCCTCGAGAGAGGTTCTCTCCATTAACCTGATGTTTAAAAAGACAGAGTTGTCTTTTTTACTACACACTATAAAATGCAAGCATTACCTCTGTTCTATGCTTTAAGAGTAATTTGTTTTACAAAGTATGAATCATATGACATACATGTATTTCATATAGTCACATACATGTGACACCACATCCCCTATGTAGAAAGGCTGAGACAGATGGGGTTGTTCGGCCTGGAGAAGAGAAGGCTCTGGGGAAACCTTATTGCGGCCTTTCAATATATAAAGGGGGCTTACAAGAAAGACAGACAGAGACCTTTTAACAGGACCTGTAGTGACAGGACAAGGGGCAACAGTTTCAAACTGAGAGAGGGTAGATTTAGATTGGATATAAGGAAAAAAATTTTTACCATGAGGGTCATGAGACACAGGTTGCCCAGAGAAGTTGTGGATGCCCCATCACTGGAAGTGGTCAAGGTCAGGTCAGGTTGGACTTTGAGCAACCTGATCTAGTGAACGGCAGGGGAGGGTGGACTAGATGATCTTAAAGGTCCCTCCCAACCCAAACCATTCTACGATTCTATGATTTCAAGGTTGTAAACAAAAAAACCCCAGTATAAATAAAATATTGTAGCAGCACACATATCTAGGCAAAATTATATTCATGTCATACAGCACTCTGCATTCACTTAATCTGGAGGTTTGAAAGTCAAGGAATGGGAAAATAAAGTTTTATTTTATGAGGCATAAAGTTAAGCTGTCCACCTTCCAGATGACACTGCAACATAACAAACTACTACTGTGACACAGGAAAGCAACATAAAGAAAGAGAAAACAGGCAATGTGAAGTAATGCTGCCACAAGAATCTCTTTTTTCATTTCTCCAGTTTTCAGAGATTCAGTTAGTAACCTGAATATTTCATTAAATTACAACTTATTTTTCAGCTTCTTAGCTTTTTTCCTAGAGAAAAAAATGAGCAGGCAGAATCCAAACCCGTTAAACATCAAAGATGACATGCTACAATACTGGCAAGATAAATAATTTAAATACTCTAAAGCTCAAGAGACTGCCGTGAGTATCAATGAACCTATTACTTTACAGGACTGGAAAACCTGACCTCAGAATAATGTCTGTATGACAAACTACGTGCAGCACAAAATAGAAGAGATTTCTGTTCACACTGGAAAGTGTAACACTGCATAGACATCACAATGTTATCTCTGCGTCCTTTTTCATATCTTTCAATATTTTAGTCTCTCCTCCTTCCAACCTCCAGATATATTGCATAGTAAATTATATACCGTATGGAATGAAGGGACGGTCACTCGGTGGATGCAGTAGAAAATGTTTCTCTCCAGATATCACACAGTACAAGTTCTCATAATGATCTTTATGCACTAGGATTGAGAAAAAAAGAGACGTGGAGAAAGAGAGAAAATCAGTGTTATTTCCTTCTCTACATCAGAAACTATAGTAAACTGAAAGTGTCAGCTTGTCCTCTTATTATCAGGCTGCTTCCTCCTCTTGTGGCCACTGGGATTGGAAAGTAACAATATAATACCGTAGCAAATGTATTCAATGAAGCAAATTGTCAGTGCCTTGACTGACACGATGTCAGGTAGATGCACCCAGAGACACGGCACCAAAAGGCTGCAGAAGTGCAGGAGACAGAATGCAAAAAAGCATGTTAAAGTAGAACTGCCTTGTCAAAAAACCACACAGTCCTACTGAACCACTAACTCAAAACAAGCCCGCTTGAACCTGTGCTGAAAGCACACAGACGACTTACAGTGCCATACAATACATACAAGATGTCACAGCAGCTGATTCCCCAAGCCAGAAATTCACAGCATCAGGCTTCTTCCCTGTATGGTTAGGGAACAGAGAAATGTTGTCAACAAAAAAAGGATTTGAAGTGTCATGTTTTAAAGCGTTTCAAATATTTTTCTGACAATTTCTGCCAAATTCTGTCCTTTAATTTCCTTCGTAACTATGACAGGTTTCATTGCAAAATAGCACTCTGTGAGCAACAGCAACCTCCTTCTACACTGGAAGCCACTGTAGCGCCCATCAGACTTCATGACATACTATTATCCATCCCCAAATTGATGGTTCCAGCCCTTTGGTTCCACATTCTGGATCCCTAAGACTTAGCTCACAGAGAAACTGCAGCACGTCTCCATATAGTTGCAAAAAGAAGGTGAGATCACAGTAAATTATTTTCATTGACATTTTAAGGAAAGACATGCTGTAGAATAGAAACCAGCTGAAACAGAACAGCGTTTAACTAGAAACAAACGTCTGTAATTTTACCAAAGCGTGTGGGGGCTGTGTGCTGTTTTGCTCACTTGTTATGCTAGCTTTGGTAGCAACAGCATGAATCCGAGGCGAAACACAACTCTAAATCAGAGAAAAGCCACCACATGAAAAGAAGTGCTATATGGCAATATGACCACATTGTTTCAGTTATGATGGTCCCAATACACAACTGAGATATTGATTCTGGAGTAATCCAAACCCCAAACTTGGATTATTCTATCATTAAGTATTTTACCACTTCTACTTTCTAAGGGAATGAAACTAAACTGAGCTGTGGCACCCAGAAACAGAACAAACATTCACCAGGTACCTAGCATGATTGTTTCAAAGCTCCATACAAAATATTTACTGAATATAGCAGAAATAGAAGGTTTACCAAGTGCCTCACTCATCCATGGTATGTCAGGCTGCACATCACAGACAAGTTCAGGGAACTCCTCGGTGAGGTTTGAACACTGCTTCTGCACATAGAATACGTTGGGAGAGGTCACCTTCTTCTCCACAATGTCCAAAAAGTCCATGAAAGGCATTTGGCGCTCCTCTGGCATGACAAAACGGTCCTGAAACACTGCATCTGCATAACCATTGGGTGTTACTGCCACACTCACTACCTTGGGACCTACTACCTCCCTGCAAAATAAATCAAAGGTTTATAGCCAGACCTGCAACTGGCCCATATAATGGACACTGGTTACTTTAAAAAGAACATGTTTCATGGCCAGCAAAAATAAGAAGCCTGGCTTTCCATGGATGGGTGTCTCTAGACTAGGTTTGCTACTGTCTGATGAGGACTCACATTCTGCTCCGATTGCTCCCTGTAGTCAAGGCAACTGTACTATCTTTCACCTCTCTAAATTCTCTTGTCTAACAGGTCAGTTCACAAAGGAGCTCCCTTTTCCTCCGTGCAGGCAGAGGGCCCTCTTCAGCCACTTCTTTTCATGAACCATGGCAGACCTTGAAATTCTTGGGACCGCTCAACCAGGCCAAATCTGGGCAGCCATACGTTCAAGAGCAGTCGAGGAGGGAGAAGGGCAGACAGAGACTGACGGACACACCCATCGTGAGGCTAATGGCCCTTATTTAGATCTAAACAGAAATGCCCTCTCAGAAAAGAACTTTTAAAAAAAATCAGTCATTGTTAAAACGCTCATCATTTGCTTTTTTCTAAAAAAACAAGGTGTACTCAGTCACAAACGAGTCAGTCTGTTCTTACAGCACTACAGCCCCACTCCAGCTGGGAGGCTACAGGGTGGAGCACTGGCGAGAGCACAGCCATCGGGCTGGGTTTTGATAGCCTGAGACTCCTGGCTGCCGACAGACAAAACACGGAGCCTTCGTACTGCATCGGAACTGGTCAGGGCAGTACGTTTGCAGGAAGAGATTTACACACGAGTTTGGCAGGACTGAACACCTTCATACAGAAGCACTGAGGAATCTGAGTTAATCTTACGGATAAAAACAAAGATTAAGGAATGGTCTTTTAATGAGGTCACCTGACATTGACCACGGGTCCTGCTCCAAAGCTCGTTCATACCTGAGGTACGCTGAGGTCCATTTCTTCAGAGCTGGCCAGTGGCTGATGGCATTCTGAATTATACAAGGTTTATTCGGGCTCACCCATTCTCGATAGAACTCCAGCGGGGACGGAGGCCTATCAAGATAGGGTACGGACTCCGTCCACCCCAGCTCTGTCCAGGCAAACAAGAAACAGTTTTACTCCGCGTCCTGAGAGAAGCCCCCTCTGCTAGCACACTGACTGGCTTCAAACCCCACGCCACAGGTGCTCAACTGAAAGCAAGCCGTGCCCGTCCCCCCCCAGCTCCAGAAATTGCTCTGTTGAAACCCAGAGGCTGTTCGGAAGGGTTTCGGTGCCAGACGGGTACCTCGCGCCGTCGCCCTGCTCACGCCACAGGTGGCCACGCCGTGGGCTCGCAGGAGCGTGCACGAAGGACAGACGTTACAGGAGACGCGCCTCCGATACAGAGATGATACCTCAGGAAGATCTTTGGAAGCTGGCACAGTGCTTTGTTTTGCTATTTTACACGTAGGAAACCAACCTAAAAGGGCCATTTTCTCGAGTTTTGTTTTCTTTTTGCAGCGGCCTTTCTGCTGCTGCTTCACCTCGGAAACATTTGGCTGAAAACCGAGTAGGAGCGTGGATGCTCCAGTTCAACCCACGCAGGTGCCACTTGCGGCTGCTGCGGCCCAGCCGGGGCGCCGAGGCGACCGAACACCGAGTTTTTCTTCCCGCAGGCCGGGCTGCGGCCCCCGG